TATCAGCCGCTGCCAAGTGTGTATGAAGAACCTATAAGCCATCCACCCTGCCCGCCGGCAGCCGCGGGGGAAGGCCTCTTTGGTGCTCCTTCTTCTGTTTTTGTTCCATTTTTTTGTTGTTGTTGTTTGAGACAGTGTCTCACTTTTTATCCCTGTCTAGCCTGGAACTACATAACCCAGGCTGGCCCCCCGAACTTGTGGCAACCCTCCTGCCTCAGCTTCCCAAGTGCTGGGATTACGGGCGTGTGCCACCACACCCAGCTTGGTGCTTACTCTTAACTTATTACCTCAGATGCTGACCCCAAAGTTGATCTTAGTATTTTCTTTAAAAAGAAAAACTTCCAAAGCAGTCCCGCCCCAGCACTCACACCAATCGCCTATCAGCAAGTGGGCACTGGATCCTCCAGGTCCTACCACCCGTGGGTCTCAGCCCTGCTAACATGGGAGCATCCCAGGGAGCTCTCACCGTGTAGGACATGGACATTGTGCCACCAAGGGTAGCCAACAGTAACTGTGTGTCCATGTGCCTCCGCTGTCTGCAGGCGGCTCCCCTTCCTTCACTGTCTTCCTGGAATGAGGCAGACCCTTCAGGACAGCAAAGGGGACTGGCCAATGACCTGAGGCTCACTGCCACCTGTTTCCACCCAAGGATCCTTGCAGAACACTCTGACTAGGCCGGTTTCCTTGGCGGCGGGGATGGCAGTATTATTTTCTACCAAATCCGTAACTGCTACCTCCCAAGACCCCACATGATGGCACCTGCCTTTTTAAGACCCCGACCGTGGCACGTGGCTCTGGTTCTAGCCAAACCTACGCCAGCATCTGCTGGAAGGTACACTTAGCAAGTCATTCACAGTGGCGTCCTGCGGCCTATGTCATCTTAACACCTCCCCCCAGCGCAGCAAGCTTTTCATGCCTTTCCTGTGTAACACCACAAATAAAAGATATTCTGAGTATTTGACTGACTACCTTCTGTGTGTCTGTGTGTGTGTGTGTGTGTGTGAGAGAGAGAGAGAGAGAGAAAGAGAGAGAGAGAGAGAGAGAGAGAGAGAGAGAGAGAGTGAGAGAGTGGCAGGTGCTCATGTGTATAATGGTCTGGAATTTTGCCGGTTAGGCTGACTACCCAGCCAGCAAACCCCAGAGATCCACCTTTTTTAGCATGTGCATGTCTCTGTGGGAATAAGAGCAGTTTTCTGTATTTGGGGTGAATTTGGTCCCTGTCTGTATTTTATCACTCATTTCTACAGAACTATCTTGGGAATCACACATCTGAGTGAGGAGGCTCTATCCCCTTCAAGTACATTTCCAAGGTCACTCATTAGTCCCCAAATGACTTTCAACTCCAGACTCAGCATTTAAAAGGCACACTCCCTGGGGATACAGCTTGGTCACTGGCGGGCTCTGGAATCTACCTAGGATATGGCCTTGTTGGAGGGCATGTACTACTGGAAGCAGACTTCAAGGTCTCAAAGGCTCATGGGATTCTTGGTCCTTTCTGTGGTTGTAGACCAAGCTGTGAGCTTTCGGCTATTCTTCACACCACATCATGGACTCCCCAGCCTCTGAAACTATAAGCCAAATAAATGCTTTCTTTCATAAATCGCCCTAGTGATGGTGTTTCGTCACAGCAGTAGAAACGTAGCTAACACGGTGTCCTTTGGGAGGATGGAATGCAAGGACTGGAGACCCCATTGTGAAGCCGCACAATCCTCCCTGGCTCCAAACGTACCCTGATAGTTCCCTGCCCAAACACCTTCTGCAGATAAACGTCTTCCAGATGCAGGAGTGACAGAAAATGCTCAGTGTCCCTCACAAGGCCAAAGTCCAAGCAAAAGATAGGGTGGAGGCAGCTGAGTAGATTTGGGTACCGTGATAGTGCCCTAGCATGGCAGTGATTCCTACAGAGTCATTTGCTCCCCTGAGAGACAGACCCGGCCTCTCTGTGTAATGGGACGTGGTTGTCCTTTTGCCTTGTGATGACTTGGGAGGGTCCTGAGCATCCCTAGGGACTTCATATCTCCCTTTTTCCAGGAGGAGCTATACCAGGGTTTATGGGTCAATAAATGCAGTTACCCACATAGATCTCCAGGCTTCTGTGACCCCACCCCCCAGGGAGAAACTGATTGAGACATGAATCAAGAAATGAGGGCTGCTGAATTGTCCTGGGCAGAGAGCTCCCTGTAAGACGGGAGAAACACATTCGTGAGACAAAAACCACTGCAGCCAGCAGAGTGCAGCCTAGGACCTGCAGATGGATTGCATTTGCTCTCTAGTGGCTCCACCTCCCCTTCAGTCTAGGGAGAGCGGGATGTGGAGGAGTGTTTGACTTGAGAGCACACTAGGTTCATGCTAGTTACCAACACACAGCGGCCTGAGAGGCCCTTGGCAATCTGTGAGCCTCCAAGTCATCAACACAGGACAAACAGACAAGCATGCTTCTAGGACTTCCTCTGAGGGGCAAGGCAGGCAGCGAGTTCCAGGTGCAGTAAGCTGAGCCAGGCAAGCCCTGCAGACAAGCCAGTGACCTGACAGGGAGCCTGGGCCCATCTCCAGGACAAGTATCCAGGAACTTTTGTGTGTTGGTGTGCCCTGCGCACTCTGCCTGAGTCGATTGTGAAGCCCAGGAGAACCCATGTGAAAAGGACAAGGGGTTGCATGCTGTGGAGCCTTGAAGAACAGAGACTCCAGCCGAGGGTGCACAGCACAGACAGGAGTGTCGCCGAGATCACCCCACCTCTGGCTGGTGTCAGTGTACCTTCAAAAACACAAATGCCTGAAGAGAAGACCCCATACCCAGCTAAGGTCTCTGGGTTCCTGGGTCTCTCAGAGAGATCTGTGGTCATCCCTCCAGTGGTGGCTCTGCACAGTTGGGGACCACCGTCAGGAACAAGGACCTGATGACATACTCAGTTTTCTTCCTCTGTGAGGGAGATTCTCTCCCTCTGTCTCTAGAGCGTCCGCAAAACACAGATGGTAAGACTACGTAGTAGGCAAAGTGGGAGATGGGCCCCGATCTGAGACTGTCTCCTGTCAGCAGCTCTCCCTACATTAGGGAAACAGGGGCAGACATGACACTTAATGTTTTTTAAAAAGCTGGTCCTGGGATCTGAGGAAATGGGGGCTTGAGTCAGGCAGTGGCCAAAAATCAACATAGCTAACCCCAAACTTCCCTGTCCCCATGGCCAAGTCCGGTTCTTCACGGGCAATGGGAAACATCTAGAGCTGCCCCTGTGTTGAGGGCACCTTGAAACCTGGCCTGCAGCGCACAATGCCTGTCTACGCTCTATGTGCTACCATACAGTTCCCAAGCTTCAGGCAAGAGGCTGGAGGTTGAAACACACAAAGACACACAAACAGAGACACGGATCTAGTCACTGGTAAGTGGCCCTCTATTCAATAGCACCACGGAGGCTTATATACCCAACAGTCAAGTGGGCCAACAGGTGAAAACCTTATCCTCTGATCCTCAAGGCCAAGGCAACTCGTGCTTGTGAAGCAGAGCTGGTAAACAACTTTGACACAGCTTTCAGTAACTCACATCAGAAGGAAAGTAAAGATCTCTAGCAGGGAAGAGCAGCTGGGGACCAGGACTCCAAATGGTCCCAACACTGGCCTCTGGGGCTACCATGTTCAGGCAAAGGTAAAGAAGAGTTCTCAGGGGCTTGTCCTCAGACCACACCCTGCCTTCATAAATCACAAGCCACCCACTGGGAACTCCTACAACTGGTGGCTCCCTAGAGAAACACAAGCCATGTGACGCCATAAATAGGACCCAAGGACCTGGTTCCCCGTGGAAGACCAAGGCTGATGTACAAAGTTCCCAGGAAACACTGCTCAGAACTGGGTGCCGGGGTTCGGGTCAAGAGTTCGAACCGTTTCATTTTTCCTGAAAAGATATCACATCTACACCAGGGAGTTGAGAGTGGGAATCCAGGCTGCTAGGCAGGCATTTAACGAATTAACTGTCCCTCACCCAGTTCTAGAGCAAGACAGCCCAAGGAGCCCATGGCTACTTTTACTTCTAGAGCCACGAACACAGGCGGCACACTCAAGTGGAACTGGCATCCTGTCCCTGAACATGCAGTCATTCAAGGAATGTTCCCTCAGCTGGGACTCAAGTCAGAGAACGCTGGGAAGAAAGGGTCCTGGGAATTTTCCCACTCATTCAGAACCTCAAACACGAACTGCAAAAATCATGACATGTCCCAACAGTTTCACTCGGTGAAGTGTCAAAGAGCGGCCCCAGGGTCTCTGAGTCACACACTTCCCAGATGTCACTGGTCAAGATACAGCTCACAGACAGGAAGTGTAGCTTCTGCCCCTACTGGGGTGCTTCAGACACTCCAGCGGAAAGTGAACTCATCCACTCTCAGTTTTTAGCAAGCTATTGTGAAACGGGAGGACGGACTCTAGGATCCCGACTCCAGCAGGAGGATGCCTTGGCCTTGGCCGAAATGATCCATCCCACACTCAGTGGCAACACTGTATCTCTTCTGAAATCTGCAGGCTTTTCGGGGCCAGCCACTCAAGCCTGCAACAGCGGTTAGCAAAACCCGCCCACGGATCTAACAAGGGCTGGCCTCCCCGCCTCATGGAGCCCCCGTTGCTGCCTGCCAGCTCTCAATGAAATGTGTAAGAACACAGGCGCTATTGTCTCCCACACTTGCCTGTCAGCTTCTCGAAGAGCAGCCACCTCACCACCCACAGGAAAACCACAAAGGGATTTTGACTTGGAATTGGGGGAGGGGGGTTTCAGACCAGATCAAGATCAAGGCTGTGAATGTAGCCAGGACAGCCATTCAAGCCATCCAGGCAGCTTGGTAAAAGACTCATCCAAATACCCTGGAGTTTCTTGGACCTGGAATTTGCAAGAACCGAGCAACACTTTAAAGAGAGAGAGACTCACTGCCATAATTTAATGACAGGTTCATGGCCACCGCCCCCACTCCCAGAATCAATGAATCTCCTGGGGTTCAAATAAAGCTAAACACTCCTGATAATAAAGCTTTTCCTCAAATCCTTTTTAATAACATGTAGCCCACCCGGATTCACCAGGTATAAAAACAGCCATTCTTGAATTTTGTATAAATTAATCACGGAGACTTGGCATCAGAATATATCAAGTACGGATATCAAATGGGAAACCCCAGAGAACAGATGTGGTGCAGGATGCGGTGACCGTGAGAGTCAAGCCCACTGCAAGGCAGCTCCCAAGACTGCAAACTGCATGGTGGTGGTTGATACACGAGGCAGTAGACGAGGCGGCACCAGGTTGGCTCCACAGAGGGTTTCGGTCCCACCTCCTGATGCCCAGAGGTCGCTGGGGACCCTGACCTGTACTAGCAGCTGGCGGTCATTTCCACCCAGCGCCCTCTCTACACAAAGTCCTGTGAAATGTCTGAGTTCGGTAGCTCCCACACATGCCAGGGGACAGGAGGGAGGCCTCGGCCATCAGGCGCAGCACCCAGATCTAGTCCGCTTGGGTGTTTTGCAGCTGGCTATATCCACAATCTGGGACGGCTCCTCAGTCTTCTGTCGGGCGATCATCGGCACCACCAAGTCAAACAAGGTCTCAAAGAGGAGGTCCACATTGTGCCCAGTTTTGGCGCTGGTTTCAAAGCACATCCGCTCGGCGGCTGGCATCTCCCCCTCATCCAGCATCTTGTACTTCAGGATCTTCTTGTAAAGGGCCATCGCGTCCTCTGGCTGCACCTGCCTGGGTACCTTGGAGGAGACACAGCTGCCCCCCGCCTTCCCAGAGGCCTCTCCTTCCTTCTCCCCACCCTCTGGGGCCCGCTCCATGGCCAGGTCCACTTTGTTTCCCACGATGGCAAACAAGCAGTCGTTGTTGGCTGTTTCTGTCAGGCCCAGGAACCTGTCCTCCAGCTCCAGCAGACTCTGTCGGTGGTTCACATCGTACGTAAGGATGACAGCGGCCGCCCCCCGGCAGTACATGGAGCCCAGGCCATGGAACTGCTCCCGCCCTGGCAGGAAGCAAACAGAGAGAGACGGTTATTCATTTCAGGATGCACCCACCATGAACGACCCTGTGGGCAGGCTCCCCACCCTGCCCCCCCCAAAGGATTCAGGATCCCAGGGCAGAGGATTGACATGCTAAATAATGGCCAGATAAAGCTGCTTCAGGTGGCCAATCAGGACTCCATGCCCTGCTAAAGCTGGCCCAGGTGACTGAGCAAGGCCTTGTGACCAGTTAAAGCTGGGTTCTCTACTCCAGACACCCCAGCAGTCCTCACACCATCTACACAACACTGTCAGTATTTGGGACAGGGACACACAGGTGCCTCCTGGTCAGAGGATAGCTGCCTGTTCTCACTTTAAAACAAGGTGCTTTGAGGTCCTGAGTTCAAATCCCCACACACGTAAAAAGCTACACACAGTCAGGCATGGTGGATGCCCTTTAACCCTCAGGAGCACTTGAGAGGCAGTGTAGGGTAGATCTCCGAGAGTTCTGCGATGGCACTGAGACCCTGCCTCAAAAAAAACCAGACATGGCCACATGTATGCCCATAAACCTAGCCCTGGGGTGGGGAGAAAGGAGAGACGCTGTGGCTTGTAGCCACTAGCCTGGCTCCAGATTCAGTGACCGACCCCCATCTCCAGGGACTAAGGCCGACAGTGACAGAGTAGGTCACTGAATGTCCTATTCTGACCTCCGTGTGAGCATGGGTTCGCCCACCTTTATAAAACACACACCACACATGTGCACACATACACACACATGTGCACACACACACGTGTACATACATGCACACACACACACACACACACAAGAAAAAAGAAAACTGTGCTTTAATACGAGGCTCCAGGATTTGAGAGATGCTTCAGAGGCCAAGAGCACTGGTGTTCTTGCGGAGGACCTGGGTTCAATTCCCAGCACCCAGATGAGGGTTTACAATTGTCTGTAACTCTGTTCCTGGGGATCTGATGCCCTCTTTTGTCCCCTGCACAAGTGGCACAGGCATACATGCGGGCAGAAAACACGTTTACACATAAAAATAAAAAATTTAAAAACACAGTACTGCCCACGTGGGTCTTGGTTGTGTGTGTGTGTGTATCTGTGTGTGTGTCTGTGTGTCTGCGTGTATATCTGTGTGTCTGTGTGTGGTGTATGTGTGTCTCTGTGTGTGTGTCTATGTATCTGTGTGTCATGTATGTGTCTCTGTGTGTGTCTGTGTGTGTATGTAATGCTGAGAGTGTGATGTAAGCACCTGCCACTGAACCACAGCCCTGTCATGGGTCTCTGTGTCACACTCTGAGGTGTCACCAGCCACGTCTGATTCGTAGGGAACACGATGGTTTGTTCTCGTGGGGGTGAGGACCTCATCCATCCACAGTTCAGGAGTGTTCTCACATCTGCAGCGTGGCACGGGGACACGGACCTAGGAAGCAGCTGTGCGAGGGCAGGGAAAGCCACTGCACAGGGCACTGCACTCCACTGCCACAAAGACCAACAGTGAGCTACAGAAGTACTCTTGTGGTGTCTTCAGACAGGATGCCTTCCATCCCACAGACAACTGCTGAACCCCAGAACTGTAACTGCCTCAAAAGCCATGGCGGCTGGTCACGTTATTAATTGGGATGGGAAAACCCAGCCACTGTGGTGGTCACTCCCCAGCTGGGATGAGATGAAGCTGCCTCCGACCACAAGCCCTGCTTCCGTGATTCCCCACCAAGACAGACCGCACCTGGAGCTGTGAGCGGAAATGACCCTGCACCCCTTAAGTGGCTCTTGTTGGAGCATCTTACCGCACAAGAAAAGAAATGCAGACACTGCCATACTGGCAGCGAAGTACACACCAGGAAAAACACGTTCCAACTGCACCATTTTTTGTTGGGTTTGGTTTTTGTAAGACAGGTCTCACCTTGTATCTATCCCTGGTTTTGCCTGCAATTGCTATGCAGACCAGGCTGCCTTTGAACTCACGGAGATTCGGCTGCCTCTGCTTCCCAATGCTACCTTGCCAAGGTTAATCATAATCTTTAAACATGGCAGCGTAGCTGGCAGCTTTGTCTGTGGCTACTGCAGTTTAGCCTTTTGTCTGAGCAAGGGCTGGGCTTATCCATCCACTGAGATGTTGAAGGTGTCATGGAATACGGAATGATGGTGTCCTGGGCCAGCTTTCCACCACTACCATCTTCAGCCAGATGCCATCTTCAGCAATTCTGAAATGGCCGCATTCTGGCACCGGGTACTTAACACCCAGCCGAACAATGCTGTCCTTTGAATGTGTGGCTTTTGTCCCACTGCAGAGTCTGCAACACTGATAAGACAGGCCTTTGCTTACAAAAGAGAAGTGTTCCACCTAACACACACATGCATGCACACACACATAAATGTGTGTACATACAAACACACGGGTATATACAGCAACCCAAAAAAAAAAAACCACACATGCGCACACACAAATATATACACAAACACATATGCAAACACACACACACACACACAGGCATCTCTCAGCACAACCTTCCAGCACAACCTTCCAGGATACCAACTGTGACAATGGTATCCATTCAGCCACCAGATTTCACAAGAGAATGACCACAGGGACACAGAGTGGTGATATTTCACCAGTCCTGAAAGAATTTTTTTCGAGTCTCTGTGACATAGTTCACTCAGGACAAAGAAAGAACTGTATTAACACCCACGCCCCAAATGGCTTTCTGTCCCAGATAAACTGATTTGAAGCTTGGTGTGGTGGCACACGCCTGCAGTCCCAGCACTCAGAAAGCAGGAGCAGGAGGTTTCAAGTTACAGGCTAGCCTGGGCTACACAGCAAGACTCTGTGGGGGGGGGGGGCCGCCGGGGGGATTTGCCTTTTGAAAAGTAAATGGTAATTACACAAAAATAAAGATCTTAAACACTGAACGAAATAGGAGATGTGAAACAAGAAACCCCCAATAAAGAGCAGAGCAGAGAGCCAATGAATGGCGCTTGCTGTATTATGACCAGTCATTAATGACGTCAGCCACTCAGGTGCAGAACTTATATCAGCTGAAGAACTTGCCAGCTAGTCTTCAAGATCAAATCTGTATGTAGGTCGGCCGGGCAGTGGTGCGTACTTTTAATCCCAGCACACGGAAGGCAGAGACAGGTGGATCTCTGTGAGTTTGAAGTCACCCTGGTCTACAAAGTGAGGTGCAGGACAGCCAGAGCTGTTACACAGAGAAACCCTGTCTTGGGGGGAGGGGAGGGCAGAGAATCTACAGGTCTTTGAGTTGCTAATGGGATTCACAGGCTGTACGACCATAGTAAGACGGTCCTAGCTAAAGGTAGCAGGGATGAAGAAGGGAGAATCCCAGGTACTGAGACGTCACAGAGGTCAACAGGACCTCCCTCCTGGACTGACTTTTCAAACTCACCTTGTCTTCATATGTAACGCTGTATATATCCCAGAACTTGTACACAAGTCAGGCAGGCTTGAACAGGTCCTGAGACCCTCCCACTAATAGCACGCGGGTGTTTAATCCTCTCGCGCCCTCCCTCCTTCCCACGTTGGATTCCTGAGTTCTTCACCAAGGTGCTTGACTTCCCTGAGAACTGAGTTAACACTAAGGAATTACAGACTGTGTGTTATGGCTCCTCTCAGAACACTGGCACTGGCAGCCAGAATGTCTTCCTGGGAATCCCAAAATGCACACAGAAAGTCCCTGTGAGTCCAGCAAGCCTCTTAGCATTGAGCGTTAAGTTTCCCCGTTGTTAAAATCCAAGTAGCACCTGTCTGTCGAGGGTGGCTGAGAAAATAAGAATGAGTTCATCCTTGTAAACAGCTCAGCCCTGCACCTAGCACGTGGTCAATAAATCATGAGTCTCAGCCTCCCACTCAGCCCTCATGGAGTGCACCCTCAGTCCTGCTCTAGTCTCTCCGGCTATACATCTGCAGACTGTCTCCCAGGCTTGCTGTCCACACGGCAGCTGACCCACGCCCTGCTTTCTCCCTGATTCTTGAGAATGACCTTCTCCCTAATCCCTGACTGGCTGTTAGACCGCAGTTAAAAATGGCCCAGAGGCGAATGTGGGGAAAACGGAAGTCAACGGCCTGCAGTAACCCGGCCCAGCTACTGGGGCTCTGAAAACAGCCCAGTCACTTTCGACTACATTCTCCAGTCTCCCCAAGCCAAACGGCCCTTGAGTCCAAATGTCTGTGGTTTTTATTTCCATATTCCGCATCACTGAATGGATTGGCATGTCTGGCAGGAATCATGTACAACCCTGCCCACACATTCTCGTTGAGTGGGGGATGGGAAGGCAGCTCTTTTAAAACTACTGATACTCAGACCCTAGATCCACATGGATCAGGAGATAAATGCAGTGTGCAGCCAGAACTGAGGTCACCAGCCTGGGCCCCATTACCCAGAACCATAGAAAATAAACACATTTAAAAAAAAAATAGCTGGCTGAAACGTAAAGCTCAGATGAACGCTATAAGCTCCATGCAAGCTCAGAGAAAGGAAATTTGTGCAAGCAAGCTCTGCCACATGCATCCCTGCAGTCGATTGGGCGGGAGCTGTGAGAACGCCCCTGTGATGGTGTGGGCAAGAAAGATATGGCAAAGGGGCACAGAAGCAGAGCTGGGGACAAGGACAGAGGTCAGAGCCAAAAGCCCAGCTTCGGAGACCTGCACGACTCAATCCGGGCAAGCTGTGATAGGCTTCTCCAAATACATTAATTCTTTTTTTAATGAAATTAAGGTTTCCCCAGTGTTTCCAACTTCAACCCATGAATGCTACTGCAAAGATTATTTTATCTCTACTTCATAAAGCCAAGAGAGCGTTAGGCGACACTTACAGCCAGACATAAACTATCTTTGATACACCAAATCTACAACATTTCATCTGCATCTGTTGGAACAGCCTGCAGAAGGCACAGCTCTCCAGGGACGTCTACAAAAAAAACAAATAAGCAAGCCTTCATGCAATCAGGAAAAGGGGGCCACAAGTCTCCCTAGATTTGTGAGATGGGCTGCTGCCAGCAGCCTCCACTCCAAACAGTATATACAGAATGTAGAGCAGCAAGCTAAGGGCTTTCAGTGCCACCAACAGGCTTCATCTGAGACTCTTCCATGTACCAGGGCTTTTCTAACGGAACAACATCGATGGGCGTGGTGGTGTGCACCTTAAATCTCAGCACTCAGGAGGCAGAGCTGTGCAGATCTCTGTGCGTTCAAGGCCAGTCTGGTCTATCTAGTGAGTTCAAGACACCCGGGACTATGTAGAAAGACACTGTCTCCAAAAATAAACAGTCAGTATCATTGATGACATCCTGTGCAACAGGCCATGGCATCAGCGCCCCCTCAGGCAGGCCACAGGAGAGGGCTTTGGTCCAATAAAGTCTGGCTGTTTCTCTGACAATGTCTCAGATGAGGTTAACACAATGGGACCGTCTGCAATTTAGTACTCTGACTCAGGGAGCCCCCGGGAAGTTCCCAGAGCATCAGCCCAGGCAGAAATCCAGACATCCTCTCTGCGTCTCAACCTGTGGTGCTTTCCCCAGGGGAAGGGCCTAACACTACTGGAGTGATGTTTTGGCTTCTTAGAACCTGTACCCTCAGGGATAAAAGTGCATTTAACTGCTGAGGTTCCCCCAAGAAGTATAGAGTGGTCTCAACAGCCAGTCTTTCTGATACATCATCTCTAGACCAGCTGTCAAGGTCCATTCCCAGCACACACACACAGAGAGGCACAGCCTCAGAGAGCTGCAGTTTCAAGGGTGGCCAGAAGGTTCCATGACACCTCACCAGGACCTGCACAAACCTGGTCTGAGGCCCCCACCGTGACCACACACCCAGGAAGAGGCCTGATAAGGGACTTCAAACCCTAGAGCAGCACTTTGCCCTGTGGTGGTTTGAATGAGAACAACCCCCACGGGCTCATATATCTGAACGCTTAGTCACCAGGGAGTGGAATTGTTTGAAAAGATTAGAAGGGTTAGGAGTTGTGGCCTAGTTGGAGGAAGTGTGTCACTAAGGTGTGAGCTTTGCGGTTTCAAAAGCCCACACCAGGCCCAGTGTCTGTGTCTCTCTTTCCCTGCGGATCAGGATGTAAAGTTCTGGAGTTACTGCCCCAGCAACATGCACGTCTACCTGCGGCTGCCATGCTCCCCCCCCCACACCACAACAATAATGGACTAAACCTCTAAAGCTGTAAGCAAGCACCCAGTTGATTCGATTTTAATGTCTCTTTGCAGCCATATAACAGTGACTGAGATGGAACCCACTACCCACTTCCCTATTATCAGCCCCTTCCTGACCTGTGGCCTAAACGGTGGTTTCTGCAGAAAATCCAATGGTGGAAATCCCCTGCAGCACACACAGACTTCCTTCAGCCTTCAAAGTATGAGGAGCCACCGAGCTGGCAACTGTCCAACACTGGTTCTGCTTGCCAGAGTTCAACACAAGGGCCCACTATGGAAAGGTAGAACACCTAGAATCAGCAGCCAGCCTCAAGTCTGGGACCATCCTTCATGACTGAAGGGTTTGTGGTGATGGAGACTGCAGCCAGGAGTCTAAAACCTGAAATTTTTGTGGTTTTAAAGTGACTTCCTCCTTTCTTATCTCTTAAACATATGTCCCACGAGAAAGGGAATTTTCTACATAGCGAATCCAAAGCCACTTTCTGACGCTCATCCCCAAGACCCACACAGAAGACCTTCCTGGAAAATGAAGTTAGGGTTTAGAGACTTTGCTGAGCTCTCCAAGGGCCCTAAATCCTATTACAAGTGTCCACAGAGGAGATGCACAGAGAAGAAAGCCCTGGGACTCTGGAGAGACTCAGTCACTGGTCTAGAAGTCTATACACCGGCAGTTCTCAACTTGTGGGTCTCAACCCCTTTGGGGTAAGAATGACCCTTTTGTAGGGGGTCACATATCAGATATTCTACATACCAAATATTTACATTACAGTTCATAACAGTAGCAAAATTACAGTTATGAAGTAGGAATGAGAATAACTTTATGGTTGGGGTCACCACGCCATGAGGAACTGTATTAAAGGGTCACATATTAGAAAGGTTGAGAACCACTGATCCATGCTTTGCTCGGACCACACACCAGCAAACCACCCAAACCAGCCCTCCAGGCCATCTGCATCAGAACCAGATGAGCAGATTCCCAGATGGGGAGGCAGCCCAGGCTCCCTTCCTCAGCCCAGCATTGGCTCAGCCCAGGGGGGCCTTCCCACTTATCTGGGGACATCTATCTCCAGGTGGCCAGATTCATTCTCGACATCTGACTCTGAGCTCCAAAGCCCAGACATGGATGGCCATGGTGGTGGTGACTCCCAAACACCTATAAACTGGCCTCCTGTCACCCCTGTGAACCCCCACTCCAAGGCCAATGGCAGCATCTCTGAATATAGAATATGGCATTTAAGATGCTTTAATAACATAGGTTCTTTTTTTATGACAATGAGACATGTCTGTTCCTGGAAACACCAATCTACTTCAAAGAAGATGATGAGCATCAAAGAAACTCCACATGGAGTTTACTTTCTTGCGGCCAAAATTAAGTCCCTGGGCAAGAAAATGCCCTTGCATCAACTGCGGACAGTATGATGTCCTAATTGGACAAGCAAGTCACAAAAGAGACTGACTGTCAAACATTGTCAAGACAAGGTGGGGCAGCCCTTCAAAAATCTTGCTTCCTAGAAAAATCTGTTGAATATTCTAGACCTTTAGGCTGAGGACGGAAGCCCCAACAGAGGGAACTTGGGTAACTGTCTAGGCAGCCAGATGTTTCTGTCATTTCTCATGTTTTTGGAGGTCACTTGCTTGCATTTTCTGCTTACTCAGTTAATATTATTTCTTTCTTGGGTTTCTGAAGTAGTTGAAGACTAGATAGCTATCATTCTAATTGTTTTGTTTGCAAGACTCAGAAAAGAAATTCACTTAAGTGTAAAATGTACAAGTTTGAGAGCTATCAAAAGATAGTTTTGGATGATAATGCAAGTTAGAATAGAAAATGAATTAACTACAATGTTTTGAACTCACCAAAATGGATAGTTAAGGAGTACTTTTTTCTGAATATGTCAAATGCAAATGGACTAGACATTGTTGGTGTACTTTTGCTTGTATATAGTGTATATAGTTATTGTACTTATTGTATATAGTTATTATATTAGTTATAACATTCTTTTATTTTAGACAAAAAGAGGGAAATGTGGTGATTTTTTTGTGATTTAACAAATAAAGTGTCACCATGGCTTCATGGCTAACTACTGGGATACTCCATCATCACAGGAAGGGGAGGCCGCATGTACCTGTTCACCCTGTGTGGTACCCTGTTCCCAGGACACGGGGATGCTCCATCATCACAAGAAGGAGACTGTGAAGGAGGAAAAGAGCACCAACATCTTCAGTTTTACTGACCCTCTCAGCCACCACTCAGGTGCCAATCAAACCTGTATCTTTTCCTCTTCTTGATTACAAGCCAAGCCACAGATGCCAGCAATCCCAGTCACCTGGAATCTAACTGCCCTGCCTACCCGTGTCTCACATCTCAGCCCTTCCACTCAACAACTGCTAAGGCTTCATGGGTAACCAGGAAGCTCCGTCCCAGGCTCTGGTGGGAAGCCGGAGGAGGTCAAGTGGGTCTCTGACCATTTGACCACACGCCGTTCTCAGCCCCAGATGGGAAATGGCACTCAGGACACTGTGCCTTCTCAGAAGCCTGACACAGAGTTCTGACTTTCACTTCCTTCTTCATAGGTGAGCAGAAGGCCAGGGAACAACACTCACATTCAAAATTAGGTTAAGTTTACTCCACAGTTGCTAAAGTGAGGTCAGCTGTGCCCCAGGAAGACAGCCCAAATCCACATGCTCACCCTGTGTCTGTGACCTTATCTGGAAACAGATGACTAGATACAGTAGGGTCACACTGGAGGGTGCCCAGTGTTCAGCAGGCTGCGAGCCACAGCCATGGGAGAAGAGGAGACACACAGAGGTCTGGAGAACAGAACTGTGGGATCCCCCAGATGAAGGAAACTTGGTTTCTACCCTGGAGCCAAGCCAGCCACTGGCACCTGAACTTCAGACATCCAACCTCCGGAATTTCGAGAGGGTAAGTTTCTATTGTGGTAAGCCACAGAGTGTGTGAGACTCGCCAAAGCAGCCCTGGGCAACTCAGGCGCAGACTGGAGGCCGCCACCCCTCAAATCAGAAACCATGAACTGATCAGAATTCACAGTTCCTTTTCCTTAGTGTCCCCACTATGCACAAGGGTCAGGAGGGCAAGAGGCATTCTCCTCCCACCCCAGTCAGCCAGCCCTCATCCCACCTTCAAAATCAAGACAAGCCAATCATGAACCTCAATGGACAAGGAGAAGTCGTTAAGGGGATCAGATGACACTGGGCTTGCGTCACAAAACCCAAATACCACCCCTGAACCAGGTCAGCAAAGCCACTCACTTCCTGAGCACGAGACTCACTCGAGGACACCAGCATCTGGCTTTGTTTCTCAACCTTAAACCCAATTCCTGGCCACTGGGTGCAGGAACGACCTTCGCCCTCCCTTCCGACTGTGTGAGAAATGAAGGAAGGGCCAAGTCCGGCTCTTTATCACTCTTGACAAACACAGGAAGAAGAGGTGTAACCCCAAAAAACTGCCTCCACTAGAGGCCAACGACCTACCTGCCAAAGCAGGCCTCCTTGGCTGCGTGGGGGGAGGGGCAGATGCCCTGCCCTGCCCTGAAGCACAGAACCTCGCACAGGCCATAGTCATAGGAGCCACTGTCCACAGAGGCAGCGGGGCAGGTGACAGCCAGGGTTCAGGTCCCTGCTTGTCATACCATGGACGCTGTCAACCTCAGGTCCTACGTTGGGGAAACAGATGTCAGGAGAAAAGATGCTTGTGGTCTAGGGGTGGCTCTGTCACAAGAAAGAAGATCTGAGTTCGAGTCCCCCACAGTGTACTTCTGTAAACCTGGCATGGAGAGGGGAAGAGAGGCAGAGCCCTGGGGCTCACTGGACAGCCCACCTAGCCAAACTGATGAGTTCTGGGTTTAGGGAGAGACCCTGCCTCCAAACTAAGGTAGGTAACAGCTGAGAGGACATATCACACAAACCTCACACAACCACACAACACACACACACATACACACATTAAAAAAATAATAAAAGCCTTTAACCCCAGCACTCGGGATGCAGAAGCAGGTGGATCTCTGTGAGTTTGAGGCCAACCTAGTCTACACAGCAAGTTCCAGGACAGGCTCCAAAGCTACAGAGAAACCCTGTCTCGAAAAAACAAATAATAATAATAACAAAAGCGTGTTGGTATGTCATAGTCTAAAGAAATATTGGGCTGAAGAGATGGCTCAGCAGTTAGAGCACTGGCTGCTCTTACAGAGGTCCTGAGTTCAATTCCCAGCACCCACATGATGGCTCACAACCATCTGTAGTAGGATCTGACGCCTTCTCTGGCATAAGGTTGTACATACAGACAAAGCGTTCATATACATTAAATAAATGAATGCATCTTAAAAAAAACAGAAGGAAGGAAGGAAGCAAGCAAGAAAGGAAGGAAAAAAGGAAGAATTGGGCAAATCCAAAAAAAATCAGAGAAGCTTAAGGAATAATAAGCATGGCTCCTCCCACAGACACAGCCTCCTCCTGCAGGCAGGGGACAGCACAGAGGAGCACAGGCAGGGGACAGCACAGAGGAGCACAGGCAGGGGGCAGCACAGAGGAGCACAGGGACTTCCTCAGGGACAAGGGCCCTATGCCCTACACACTGGAGGTGAGCAGAGAATTGCATTCGCGGGACTGCATCTCCCGCTCTGCGGAAAGAGTCAAGCTGACGCAGCCAGGAGAGCCTGACCACGGCCACCCCAGGCCAGCACGTGAAGAGGAACACCACAGCTACTCTAACCGCTGTGATCACCGAGGGCAGGGTGACAGGGAACTCTGGGCGGCAGCGTCGGCGTCACGGTTAAGCACACCACAGAATTGTCACCCAGCTCATCGGTGTCATCTGGAAGGTTTGTTTGGTCACTTAAAGGACACACAGAAAGAAAGCACATGACCCACAGAGAGGACAAGCAGCAGAGAAACTGATGCCTTAGCTGGGGCTTGACAGTGGGGTGCTGGGGGAACACTAAGGTGGACGGATAGTGGCCAGAGCTGAAACCACAAATCTTACGGAACAAGAACTTACTGAGAGTAACTCAATCACACCAAATAGTGTGGAAAAAAGAGACGTTCTTCAATGCCCAGGAAAATACACTTACATAACAGACTTAGCTGTGAAGACAAAAGCACTCACAGAAAGAACCCCCATAAAGCCGCTCTCCGGATCTCCTTTTCCTTCAATAGACTCTGTGTGGCCTGCTGGCGACTGATTCTACAAGGAGATTAACAAATAAAAATCCAATCGCTAGCAAAATCTGCTTATTAAAACAGGAAGCTAAAGTCGGCTTCAAACGCGTTTTAACTTGCTTCAAAGTCAAGACTGGACCACAAGAACCACATTAAGAGTCGAAAAGGGCTTTCTTGAAATGCGTTATTCAGAAGGGGCTCTGGTGGGGCATATCACTCTGCAGACGTCCCGGAACACGTTGCTGAGTGAAGAGTTCCTTCCTTCTGCAGCTTACAGAGCCCTCTGAGAAACACACGGCAGGGAACAAGCAGCCTCCTCGGCTCTTTCTTGGGAAACAGGACCCGACAGAGGCTCAGGCCTCAGTGGCCTGTCACTTAAGCAGCAGGAAGGGTGTGTTCCGGCAAGACTCATGGCTTGCTCAGCTTGCTTTTCTAATACAACCACCTGCATAAGCAGCTCTACCGGCAGTGGTCTGCTCCCTTCCACATCAACGGCCTACAGGCCAATCTGATGGCATTTTCTCAGTCAAGAGTCCCTCTTCCCAGATGATTCCAGCTCGTGTCAAGTTCTCTGCCAGCACACTCTGGCTGACAGAGAGAACTCAGAAGACCCAGCGTGTGCACCCATTAACAAGTAAAAACTAAGCACTGCCCCATGGATTAGACCAAGAGTGAGCCTAAGGCTGAATCCTCCACTTTCCCTTCCTGTATTATTTGTCTGTCCCTAACGAAGGGTTTTGCCCTGTATTTATTGAACAGTACAGAAAACATTATATATAATACATGTAAATATATAATATTATATATATACATAAGATATATGGATATACAAAAGGAAGCTAATCCACTTGATCTGACAGTGCTCTCCACAAGAATCATAGGCTACATCAAGTGATGGTGACACACCCTTTAATCCCAGCACTCAAGAGGCAGAGGTAAGCGGATCTCTGTGAGTTTGAGGCCGGCCTGCTCTATAGAGTGAGTTCTAGCACAGCCAGAGCTACACAGAGAAATCCTGCCCCCACCCCAAAAGAAAGAGTCATAGACTAACAAAAAATCAGTACCAGGCATGAGGCACCTCCTTCCAAATGATTGACTGAACAGTCCAAGAGACTCCCAAAACAATACAGACTACGGGTATGTGCAACCCTTGGTTAGGGGTTGTGGGTAGGCCCCTATGGCTGAAGACATCACATTCTTAGGACTGGGATGAGACAAACAGGATCTGACCTGAATGCCTCTTTTCTGCAATCTAGCTTCCATGGCTGCAGAAAATATTATACAAGCTGCCAACAGAGAGAAACAATGAGAACAGCCGTATCTAGCTGTAACACCCACAAACCACGCAATTACAGCATAGTAAGGTGTACCTAAAGGTACATGCCGCGGGACACGTGGTCATAAGACAGCTGTCTCACTGACTGAAGGCCTACTTAGCAGGAGGGAAATCACGCCCCGTGCTAGACACCTAGGCAACTTCAACTAGCTAGTGAGCCCATGGACCTTAGAAAAGAATCGACTGCCACCACTTTGCTAGACCAGCCTAACTCCTCACTGAAAGGCCCAGACCCTCACCCGGCCACCATCCCACCCGCCACTTTGGTAGCCGTGATAGGCTGCAGAAAAGAACCAGGAAGATGTAAGCCCTTGACTCAGCAAGGTGTGCTGAGTCCTCGACCTTGCCAGACCTTGCCCTAATTACTGGGGGAAAAAACTGCCAGGGATCCTCTATATGGTAAGGAACCAATCAGAAGTTAGCTGGCAGGCTCTGGGCGTGCTTGAACCAATCAGAAGTTAGCTGACGCACTGCAGCTCAGAGTCCCTCCTACACCACCCACTGTGTCAGACCGACAGAGGACCCAAGTTAGCTCGTAATTAAAAGACTCTGCTTTTGCATCAGATCTGGTCTTTTGGTGGTTTGGGTGGGGGGGTCACATTCTGGCCACAACATTACTACATTTTAAAGTTTATCCTTATACCCACAGGTAAGTGTAGCCACAACCCCTCATTTAAAAAAGGTTCTCCTTATAGCAGGTGGAGACAGACCAACAAAGAAAACCACAGCCGGACACAATGCAGAGATCAATGAACCACAGGGAGCCCGCTCCCAACAGGTATATCTACGTCACAATCCTGCATCTATGGCTGAAGAACATCACAGAAAAATTTTAAGAGCCAGAACACCAGGAAGTTTGCTGTGAGATAGTCTTTCCCAGAAATGGCTGCAGAAACAAGACCAGAATCACATCTATATCGATGGATGTATGAACACGGAAGGAGGAAACATTTCTCAAAGAACTACAGGCAACTACTGACTGCTGGGAGAAGGAGAAATAGCCTCTCTCAGGGATAAACTACCCAGTTGTCCAAAGCCTTGAAGCCATATATACTCAAACAACAGAACAGACTTAGTGGGTTGTATTTACATATATTTGTGCGCACATATACGTATATATGTAACAAGTACAATCAAAAGAAAAGAGTCGGGGCTGGAGAGATGGCTCAGTGGTTAAGAGCACTGCCTGCTCTTCCAAAGGTCCATAGTTCAATTCCCAGCAACCACATGGTGGCTCACAACCATCTGTAATGAGATCTGGTGCCCTCTTCTGGCCTGCAGACATTCACACAGAATATTGTATACATAATAAATAAATAAATATAAAAAAAAAGAAAAGAGTCTTTAAGGAACATGGGAGGTGTTCAAGGGAGGATGGCTGGGAGGACATGGTGGGAAGACAGGGAAGGTAAGTGATATCGTTCTATTTCAGTTGAAAACATTTTTTTTTCTTTTTGGTTTTTCGAGACAGGGTTTCTCTGTAGCTTTGGAGCCTGTCCTGGAGCTAGTTTTTGTAGACCAGTCTGGCCTCGAACTCACAGAGATTCACCTGCCTCTGCCTCCTGAGTGCTGGGATTAAAGGCATGTGCCACCACCGCCCAGCTGAAAACAATTTAAAAAAAAAAAAACGAAAGAAAGAAGGAAAGAAAGAAAGAAAGCATTGCAAGGAAAGGAGTAAGGGATACTTTACTGAAACCTTTAACAGTGTTTTACAAGGGATTATGTTATGGACTCCAGCTGACCCCAACTGATGACCCAGATAACAAACAGCACTGAAAATATGGTTATCAAGTTGATTCATGTGGTTTTCAACGTTTATGTTGGATATTTGTTACAGGAGATTGCTTTAAAACCTGCTGGTTGCTCTCAACAAATGATCACCGCAGAGCACACATGCACACAAACAGACACGCATGAATTCATGACTCTGAGTCAGGGGCATGGAAGACTACATAACTAAAGAGTAAAGCTATGCATTAGTTTAGGCTGTAAACATTAAGACTGTGTGGAAAAACCAAGGCAGGCCAGGTTGGTTGTTACAGTGCTCTCTTAAAGGCAGGTAAAGTTCATAGACTAGGCAGGGGTGTGGTAATGCAAGCCTTTAATCCCAGCATAAAAGAGGCAGAGGTGGGTGGATCTCTGGGAGTTAAAGAAGTCAGGCTG